TATTGTTTAAATCACATTTTTTATGAATTATTGTTTTTTTAACAAAATGTTAATTAAAAACATGCGCTAATTATGATGATAATAAAAAAATAATCAAATTCTTATTTTTTAAAAAAAATCTGCTTTTTTTAGCGTTGTCATGTTGAACGGAAATTCAATATTACCTAATGTCCCGTTTATTTGTACAATTTTAAAAATACCTTTACCATAAACGATTTATTTGCCGCAAAAAAGAGATTCTTCAGTCTTTTTTTTAAAAAGGCAAATTTTTACGAGGCATGACTGTGGTGTAAAATAAGAAACATAAAAAATACAATGATATTTATAAAAATAACGTCTCTTATTTATAGCTAACAGACCGTTACTTTCAATTAAAAAAGAGATGAACAAATCTAATGAACTCGGGATGGTATATATTCAGATTACCAAAAATAAAAATTGAAGGAATATCATTACTACATAAACCCGCCTTTTTTATCGTGATAACCATCAGAATAACTATTAAAAAGCTAATACAATTCTATTGATAAAGTGTAATGATAAGATCAATAGCAAAAGACGTTTTTTGTCGTTGAATGATTACCGACCATTTTGTGAAATTATTGAGGAGCCAAAAGCGTTGTTTCAAAAAAGCTATAAACGATAAAAAACGAATTAATTAAAAAATTCCAATTAGATTTTAGGAGCAATAGCTATTCAACTACAACATTTAGTTGATTATTTTAAAAATGAAGAGAATAAAAAATAAAAAGATTATTAAATTGCACTATTTTGTGCTCATCGTTCATTTTTGTGATCTAATTCCGTTCCTTTCTTCCAATAAAATGAAAGACATCAAAGAACTCAACCAATTAATTGTCAGAGATTCATTTTTACTCCACCTGCCAGATAGTACTTTACTTCCTTTTTTATTTTTAGATACTTGCCTTTGTGATAAAGGGATTGTATTTTGTTTGAAACAAGAATTATCGTCAGTTAAACAACTTATTATCTTTGCATAATGAGTAAAAGCCGGGAGTACAAAACACTTATCCGCTAAACTTATAAACTCTGATTCAAGTTTTAAAAAAGGTATAAATAAATAAAAAATATTATAATGTTATATTCTTTTACCATCCATTTCAGTTTAACACCTTTTAATTATAACCGCTCTCCTTTGTACAGTATATAAACTCAGATTATATTATTCAAATCACTCAAATCACTCAAAATGATCTCCACAGTAATACATTTACTCTTTGTCACGGCATTCTTTGAACTTGTAGAATCACAAGATCAAAATCATAGAGTCTGTATGATCGACTTTGGTGCGATAGATATGGATACAAATGCGAAATACATGACCAAGTCATGGGATTGTTATGATCGGATACCAAATCCAAAGAATGAGGTTTTAGCAATGAATTTGGATTTGGCGTGTTATGTCCATGAAAATATGATGTTCCTTCATAAAGCTTCAAGAACAGTAAACAGATGTGGGCAATGGCTTCAAATCATCGGCCCGTCACAAAGTCAAATGAATTGTATGATAGCTGGATACCGTAATTACGACAGACCAAATTTAACTGATGACAAAGAGGAGAGACTCATAAGTGTAACTCCACAACTATTCACTACTTTTACAGGCGGTTTTGAAAACCAAGCTGAAGATATGACACAAGTGACTGTTTCATTCAGTGATATTGGAATATCTGCAACACCAACACTTTTTGTTCTTAACAGAACCGAAACTGAAGTAAATGTGCAAATAGTGAATGCCAATAAAGTGCAATCAATGATCGGATTTGGTCGAATCTCAACAAAAGAATTGTTGTATTATAACAAGAATCTTGATGACACATTCACTCTTCCTTTATACAATGAGAATATTTATGTTTCGTTAATAGCTTTGGACAGTGAAAATATTAATATTGATAATATCAATTTGGCCACTGGGGATCGATATGTGTCAGGTGTCAGATTTGAACAAAACAAGATACTCAAGTGCAAGTTCTTTACTGAAACGCAAGTCTTTGAAGAAGGCAGTACATTTGAAGAAACCATGTTTTTTAAATGGTATATTAAACATATCAAAATGGACGCTACAGGAACAATGTATGACTCTGCACTTGCAAATATAGTGTTGAACATTGAAGAAACTGAAACCAAATTATCATTTTTCTATCCAACTGAAATTTTGATGAATAACGACTTCAGAGAGTTTATTTTTAAATTCAGAATCACCAACTTTGAAGGATTTATGTTGAAAAGAGCCGATTTGGAATTGACTAAAAACTATCAACAAATCGACGAAGAAAACACCGAATACACCGAGCAGAACTTGAAAACAAAAATGACAATCAACGAAACTTCTGGTGAAGTGAAAATAAGAGCTCTATTTAGCAAAAAAATCAAGTTGTTTTCAAATACTGTTTCTTTTGTATTTGGTACATCAATAGGAAGTAAAATTTCGATTGGAACATCTTATCTTATCAGATCCGACATATATGTTGATCAACCAGATTGTAACAGTACTTCTTTTGATTGTGAACATACAGAATGTCTTACTTTAGATAACGATACGGTTCAAGACGGTCCAAATCCATTCACTAAAGAATGTCGACCAACATGTGGGACCTGTTTTGATGTTTTCAAATGTTCTACATCAGGAAAATGTGTCAATGAAAAGGTAATCAATCTTCGCAGCAGCAGCCTTAGTATCTTCTCATCATTATTCCTCATTCTCTTGGCTCTATTTTTGTAATTTCAGCTTTTCTTATTTTTTTTGTTTTTAAAAATGTTTTATACTAAAAAAAGAAAATATTATTTAAAATGTTATTTAAAGTGTTTTATAAAATGTTATTTAAACAATTCAATAAACCAACGAATAAAAACAATCATCTAAAGATGAACAAATCCTCTCTCATGGCCATATTTCCACTACCGAAAAAGTCGAGAGGAGACATCACATCAGTCCTTCTGCTACACACACGACTTCCAACGCGACTTCCCGAGTTACTAACAGGGAGGCTACTATCATCGAATCCGATTGGAGACTTTCCACGTGAGGGGATAGAGAAATCCATTGGGATGTAGTTTGTGTCGAATGAACAGCTTTCGCTTGTCAAGTCACTATGAGTGAGTTTATATAAATTTAGCAGTTAAAATTAAAGGAATGACAAACTTCAAATCAACGGCGTGTACAGGTATTGGTTGTGTGAACTTCGACATCAAAAGAAAGATGGAATTTGAGTTTGGCCGTTTTTTTGAAGGCAATTTTCATAATTGGAATTGAATGTTTTTTAACATATGGTAATTCCTTATTTTTCAGTCGATAATTGAAGTCAACAATGTTCGTTTTTTTGTTAACAGTTCATTTCAATGTATCATATAATACTATTAATATACTATTAATATTGATACATTTTTATTGTTGTAAAAAAATGTAAATGAGATTTTTTGGAAAAAAGATTATTTCATGAATGGCGGCATTTTTAACTTTTTATTACCAATTACTTTTGTGATAATATTTTATTTTTAAAAACAAATTTGTGTGTCTTGATTTCCCAAAGTTTATATTATAAAAGACTTATTTATAATTAATTGTATAATATTTAAAAAAATGTCTATTTTTAAAGATTTACAAAGAAAAAATAGTGGCTTTTAATAGTTTCGTTTGCTATATTTTTGAAATAAAAATTTTCCTTATGTAATACGTTAATTGTATTTTTGCCGTTTAATTCGTTATTTTTTAAATTAAGTTGTTTTAATGAATTAATTGTTAATTGTCGTTTTATTTAATTATATTATTTTTTCATACTTGATATAACCATATTTTTTAATATAAATACTATTTTATTGTAACTTTTGGTTGTTTTAAAAATAAAACTATCAATCCGATAGTTAATATTTTATTACAATTTTAATATATTAATTATAGAATAAGCAATAGTAGATAGAAGTTTTTATTGTATTTAGTTTATATTAAACAAAATGTTATTAATAAAATGTTTTTATAATTTGATAGTTTTACCTTTTTCCAAATAAATAATAAAAAATGTTATTATTATAGTTTAAGAAACAACAATACAATACTATAAAAAATGTTATAAATAGTATTAATTTTTACTAATGAACAAAGTGCTAAATAACACTTATTTACTATAGTCTGTTTTTAATAGTTCTTCTAATTTCTCAACCACTTCCTCTATTTTAAGTCGCGCATTAACATCTTCCGTCCAACACTGCGAAATGAGGTTATACATTCTATCTGGTAAGTTTGCTTTTGGTCTTCTTTTACCTTCAGCAATGAAAGTGGCAACGATCCACGGGTAACTAAATAATTCTTTAGGATATGGATCGTCCCAAATCATCACGGAGTACATAGTGACACCAAATGAGAATACATCTGCAGCTGTTTTATATCTTTTTTTATTGAGTACTTCAGGCGCCATAAACGAAGGTGTTCCCACGCCTTTAGTAAATGTCATATTCGTCATCATCAAATTGATATTCCTTGCACTTCCAAAATCAGTCAGTTTAGCATTGACACGGACATTAGCGTCGACTATTAAGACTAACATATTATCCGGTTTAATATCTCTGTGTAAGATCCCATTGTTGTGTAAATACATAATACCTTTTGCAGTGTCTTGTAGCATTTTCACTCGTAGACTTCGCCTCACTTGCTTCTTCTCTTTACTCTCAATCATCTTCTCGATGCTCCCATACTGCGCAAATTCAGTGATAATCGCACGTTCATCCCCTAAGTATACAGCTCCATAAAAATGAATGATATAATCACTTCGAAACTTCTCTAACATCTCTACCTCGTGTAAAAACTCCTCTTCTTGATTGTCTCCATTCGACATTTTGGGTTTCAACCGCTTGATGGCTACTTTGTTCCCTCGGTAATCACCAAGAAAGACTACACCAAACGTCCCCTCCCCTATTTGCTTCTTCTGAATTAATTCGTCGGGATCTATGATACTCGATTGCTGCGTTTGCACAGAAAGGCCTATTGTAAACTGTAACTCCTGCCCAACGTGGAAGTTAAAGACGGAGAAGACTATTTGTTGTTCGATTTTAGTGGAACACATGGGGTGGACCGTGACTACAAATTCAATTGCCTTTCCTGGTCGTAAAAAGACAAGACTTGGGGTGATCGACATGTCATACTTTTTCGATACTACAAAACTGGGTTGTATCTTCACTTTATGTTTCCCACTATTTGCAACAACTATTTTAAGAGGAGTCTCTTCATTCACTGGAATAGCGTCTTCATCATATAATGTGAACGTTTTCTGTGTGACTAATATCCCAGGAAGTGCCTCTATGAAGCGAGAGAATGTGAAGATGTCACTGAGATTCATCGTGTTCTCCTGTTTGAGTCGAATTGCTTTACGAAGAATATAAGTGATTGTAAAGTACAAGATTATTACAAGTAGTACAACTCCACCTAATACGATCAGTGATATCCACCAAAGAGACTTTTGCACACAAATGGAATTTTCTAACTTGTGAAACGTGTCACACGAATCACATTTGTTCTTCGAAGAACTCGTGCAAAATTGGATGTTCGTGTAATCAACACAAATGTCATTCGAAAGGACATAATCCCTTTCACATAACACGCAACTGGTGCTCGAAGTGCATTTTTGGCAATTGGAAACACATTTTGAACAATACGAGTTGGACATATAATAAGTGTCCTCACACTTTGCACACCCATTTTTATCAAACGACGCGCAATGGGTTATGTTAGAGTACAAAACACATTCATTAGCGTTGAACAAAAAGTAATCAGATGTACACGAAATGGGTTGGACGACATTTTGAGTGAATACACACAACTCCACACCAACTGGACATTTAAAACATTCAGTGCCCTTTCGATAATATCCATCCATACAGATTGCACACCCTATTTTAGATATAGTCATGACTTTACATGACTCACTTAACTTGTCATCAGTAAGGCAGTTATGATTGACCAATGAATCTGTGGCATTCGTACATGATAGACAAATTGTGGAGTTAAAACAACTTGCACAGTGTGAACTACAAGGTACACATTTTGTGTTATTCACATAGTATCCACTCGAACATGATATACAAGTGCCAAAGTGATTAATGACACACTGGGAATATGTCTCATCTTCTGTTTTAATATATGGAAAGAGGGAGGTACTCACAATTTGTTCACAAGTTGTATTGAAAAGCCATATGTCTTGTGATGTCGTTGAACACTCCAAACACTCCCCATGTGATCCTACACATGATTCACATAATGTGTCACACGTCTCACAATATGGTTTGTTGAATGTCCCATAATTGCATCTTTGACATTTGCTATCATTAATTATATCACACTCACCATTTGTTGCTTGGCACTTCCCATCAATTATAGAATTTTGTCCATCACATGTCAAACACTCCGTCTTTGTACATCTCATACAGGAATCACCAAAAGTTGTGTTTGTTATACATTTCTTACAAGTACTTTTGTCATTGAAATAGCCAACTGGACACGAGAGAATACTATTTGTTGTTTCTATAACACCTTCTAAACTCGTTAAACATGTACCATTCATCAGTTTATAATTGTAGTCACAAATAGTGCACTCTATTTGTGAAACACAACTTTTACAATGCTCTCCACAAATTTTACAATTCCCATTCACTACAAAATAGCCTTCATTGCATTTAACACAATTTCCATTGATCTGTGAAACACATTTCGCAATTCGATTTATTACACATCCATTGCCACTTGTCTTCATTTCATCTTTACATTTGAGACATTCACTCTTACTACACCGAAGACAATTGATGTCAGAACACTCAATGCACTTCTGTGAAATCAATGAACTGTTTGTAATATCACTCTCTAAATACCACCCCTCAAAACACTCTTTACATAACCCAACACTACTGTACTCCTCACAATGCGTCACTGTGATACTTTCTTTGCACTTTCCTGACACTTCACCTTGTCCACACGAATCACAAACAAATTCGTTATCCACTAAATGTCCAACTTGACACTTCAAGGTGGACAAATATACCAAATAAGTCCCAACCACTTTAAACCCACCAGTCGACTTTGTATTGAATATTGACGCAATTTGTGTCAACTCAAAGGATGTGCCATTTGGTACATCCACATACAAATCTACAAACTTTCCAGTAATTTGCACTTTCTTTGCACCTTGTGTTTCGTTTAAAGTGAAGATCAAACTCTTACCCATCCCTCCAATATTGATATTGTCGTGTGTGACTATTTCAATTTTGTTTTTGCTTTCAATTTCGATGTCAACTGTCGTTTTCCCATTCCCCAAAACAGTGACTTGTGCGTTATCAATGAAGTGTAAAATCCTTATACTTCTTACATTTTGTAACACAATGTTCTCCCCAGAAAAGTACAAGTCTCCTTCTATAGTATCACAAAAAGAATTATTTGTGATATTATAATGACTCAAATCACAATAAAATTCACAGTAATCCCCTTTACATGGGCATTGGGCATTCTCAAACGTTTCAAATGAGTAATCAACCACTTGACATTTCACTTTTGTTTTATCGTCATTTGTGTAATTGTTTGGACATATCCTAACAAGATTCCCCAACACCAAAGTCACAAACTTTGAGTCAGTTGCACCATTCAATGTTTCTGACACGGCTTGGTGGGTAGTAACAAGCTCAAAACAAGTACTTTGTGTATCATCAAATTCTTTGATCATATTTCCATCACTAACAAAATACCCTTCATTCATTTGAATGAGCGCACCTCTATTCAAATTATCTACGACACCGATAATTTCAATGTCATATGTTTTAATTATTGAATTGAATCCTCCTCTTATGTTATTTGTGTTTGTAAGTACTATTTTGCCACAGCGAAGTTCAGCATATACCTCGACACTTGTGATCTTCGAGAAGTCACAATTCCCTTCGACAACAATACTACTTCCTCTTATTGTAATTGATTCAGATGGTTTCCCAATGATCTCTTTCCAATACTTTGTAGTATTCCCACTCGAATAATTTGTAGTCAATTGTAGTGTCATTCTATTCTGTCTATCTTCTGTCATGTAGTTGCAATCGCTTTGTTCAAAGTTACCAGAAGCGTCTTGTGTGCACATACAATTGATGACACTCCCTTTTTTGACATATCTATTTCGTGGGCCATTACACCGTATTTCATCAATTTGAGTCCGCGCCAAAAAAGCATCACACTCACTTGTATTGACTCCGCACTTTCCAATAAATAATATGTTATTCACTTTATCTACTTTACTATAGTCAACACTTTCAATATAGAAATTGCCAAGGTCATAGACGTATTCAGTACTTTCTATAACTATTTGCCCTTTAAAATAAACACTCCCATCTATCCGCAATGGACTTTTCAAAACTACTTCACCTAAAAAAGTTAGATTGGCGCCTTTTCGTATTGTCAGCAACGTATCTTCCTCACTTGTTATCAATGAATTCCACAAATGTTCATATGGGATCTTGTCCTGTTTAGGGTTGACATAGAAATCAAAGTATCGACTTAAATAAGTGCAGTCTTGTGCGTGATTTTTATATTCATAATTGTCATATGAACATGCACAATCATCAGTTTGTAAGACATCCACTCCACATATTTCAATACGGTGATACCCCCCTCTGTCACAAGCTGACACCACTTTCAATTGACTGTTATTCACCCCTCTGGTATATTTCACTGTATCCCCTACAGTCGTATATCGATATTGGCAATTCTCTCGAGCAGTTTCATTGACCATTTCAACATCCAAATATCCATGTAAAAAGAGGGTTGGTGAAAATCCCCACTGAAATCCCATTTCAACATATTCGTAATTGGGGGTGGGGCTGGATATATTAAATTGCCTCGACTCCACTGATATATAATATGGATATTTCTTGTTGGTACTCGCTCTCCCCATGAGTGTAAGAGTCGACCCAGATATTATATAATACGTGTTGATCGTCCACGACAGTTTTTCAATATACTCTTCTATGGTGATGTTTAAGTAGTCACGTGCATATAACGTTCCATAAAAATAGAATTCAAGTAATCGATTTGGCGGAGTGGTATATTGATTGTCCTCTTCATCTAACACGTGAAATTTGTTGTTCTCTTTTATAGTGACGTTTGTTGAACAACAATCTGGAAATACTGTAAACGTGACCAAACTCGCAGTTTGTGTATAATCAAACCCCACTGAATATCCAGGGTAGTGACAACTCGTGTCGTTTGATTGTTCATGAATGATAACTTCGTTGTCTCGCAAACACCAAATGTTTGTGGTCTTGTCTGTGGTACTGAAAACACCGACCACAAAGACCACAAGGTAAATCCAAAAAGACATGATTTAAAAAGTTCGTATGAAAAGTCCTTTGGCCACTGTTAATTTTTTTCATTTTTGCCATTGTACTGTGAAAAATAAGACTAATTCTAGCAAAAGAAACGTTATTGATAGTTAACACCTATTTGTAATTTTTTAAACTCCAAAATCTCACTGTAGTATTTTTAAATCATTTTTCATACAAAGTATGATTTTTTAATAGTATTGTTTTACTATTATAATAGTATTTTTGCCAATTATAATAATTTTATTTTAGTTAAAAATTGTGTTTGGGTTTTTGAAAGAATTTTCAACAATGAAAACTTACTAATTAAATTTAGATTAATGTACTATAATGTAATGAAATTAAGATGGTTTAAATTTTCAAAGCAAACAACGAATATTTTGTTCTAAATTTGTCTAATAGTTTCATAATTTTGAAATTTAATTGTTTACATTTATTTATAATAAAACAAATTATATTTTTTAATTTTATTTGCAATGTCATCAATAAAAATCTTTTAAAAAAATCGTGTTGAAAGATATCGGAAATTCATTTTAATAATTAAGTACAAATAATACATTCATTTATAATATTTACCGATAAATCAAATACTTTCAAAAAACTATAATTTTATAATAAACTGTAATTAAATAATTTTAAAAATATGTATTAAAAAATTATTATTAATTTCTATAAGAAAATGTATTTAAAACAATTAGAATGTTTCATGATTAAATCCCCAGTTGTTTGTAGAGAACTCAGTAAAGTTAAGGTAAATGTTATCTCCTTTAATACCCGCCTTTTCTTCCAGCATTTTACAAAACCTTGCAGAAAGTGGCTCTTGCTTTCCCTTAAGCCCTCCAATACTTCTTATGTCTATGAAAGCGCTATCTTTCGCCGAACCCCCAAACCCACCAATAGACATTACCAATTGAGTTGAACAATACAATATAGGCTTCCCTACTGTATCTGATAATATTTTCATCGCCTCTTCTACGATCTCTTTCTGAACTTCGGTCGAGATTGACGAGTTGAGTTTGATGAGTGCAATTGGCATTACAAATTTTTGTTCTTTAAATTTTAATATCAATATTAATTATATTTTTACTATGAATGCTTTATTATTTTTTTGTTAAAAAAAAACAATTCTTACGACAATCATAATAAATTTACAATAAATATATCTATCATTGTAATTTGATCAAAACATTTATGAAATTCAAAAAACAAAAAACACAAATTACATTAAAAATACTCGAAAAAACTTGAGCTGTGTGAAATGAAAAAAACTATACTAAAATTATAAAATAAGCCATATTAGAACTATACAAATACCCAAAAAACGTCCAAAGGAGAACTCCAATACAGTCCATCAAACTTGAAATTCAAAAAATGGTTTGTCTTTTATCCATCAAATCTTCCCTATTTTCCTTTCCACACGAGAAAGTGTCATATTCACAAATAGAGTAAGACTAAGGCGGAGAAGCCTAATACTTCCTCTGATGAATTGACGCAGAGTGTATCACAGTATTTCACAACACTCTCCACGAACATTCAAAAAGCCGACTTTTTAGTGAAAGAGTCAGACCTCGACACATTAGAAACATTTGTCTTAGTATTAAATGACGTTTCTTCTCAGACGACTTCACAAGAGAAAGAGTTCATGTTGAGAGTTATAACATATACTTCATACTTCATTAACACAGCGTCATATGAATGGGCGTCCCTTCGTTCATACTTCACTACTGAACGTATAAAAAAGGTTGTCACGTCATACATTCACTTCATCGTGATGTACTTGGACGATTTGACTAAGTCGCAAAACACGGAATTGATCCCACGTAAGACGGAGTTGCTCTGTTTGAACGCGTCACTCCAACTGTTAACCGACGTCGACGCATTCTGTGACTTCACTCAACTCTCAAAATTGGCTTCGAAGTTGAATGGAAAGGTCCCGACCCTCTCGAAAGAGTGTTTGGATACAATGAAGAGTGTGTTACTTGGGAAGAAGGAGTTAGTGGTGAGTGACATCAATGTCCTCGACAAGACTGCATTAAAAAGTCTGTTACTTGAAGATGTCACGCGAAATGAAAACGTCGAAGAGAACGTCAAGCTGATTGGGAGAATTGTGATAGAAGCGCAACGAACGTTCAACTACGACGAATTTGGCATTTCGAAGTATTTTGAGTTTCTTCGAGTTCCGATCCGGAATTTGAAGAACCAATTTACTACACATAAAGACACTGACGCGGCGAGTAAAGAAGTATTAGAAATAGTTGGGAATATTCTGCTCTTCTTGATGAATACATTCCAAAAGTTTGAGCCGACGTGCGTGGGGAGAGTCGCACAACTGTTAGTTGATTTGACTGAACTTCATGACACATTCTCAGAAGGCAAATTCCACAACCAATGCGAGGACTTGGTTACTCTTATATACTCTACGACTGTTATCATTGGGGATAATATAGGGAATGTGACAGTGCTCACTAACATGCAAGCGTATTGTGCGTCACATTTGTTCTTAACTCTTTTACCCTCCAATTTCAACTTAAAGGAGTTTATGAGCAATTTAAACGATACAAAAGATGTGACGGAAATGCCGTGTTTGTATCCGATGGCAGTTGCTTTAACGTTCTCAAGAGAAGTCTTTCAAAAGATTGCGAGTGACAAGAAATATGTGGTGGACGAGAGTTCATATAGAAATGTGTCATCGACGGAGTTAAAACTGAAAGTGTTTGATGTCTCATTCGACGCACTTGCACTACAAACGAACGCAGTACTTGCGACTATCATTCTCTCACCAAATGGAGCATTTTTAGACACCATTTTTGCTCTCCTTGTCCTCAGCTTTTTGAGTGTAGGGTTTCAAGAGACTTTGGTGAGTAAAGTGAGCAAACAAAGCAAAGGAAGACCCGTGCGACCAATCAGAGAAGTTGCTGAGAAGTCCAATAAAATGATGAAGTCGATGACGCGACTCAACTTCTCAACAACAAAAACAGAAGAGAAGAGTCCGATGAAGTCATCTGCTTTCCTCAAAAGTCCACGAACGATTTCTACACTGAAACTTAATGTTACTGGTGCTAAATCACCAAGAAAAGATGGACTTGTTTCACCACGGAAAGACGGTCTTTTATCGCCAAGGAAAGATGGGATGGTCTCACCAAGGAAGTTGAGTAGTAACGAAACGATTCCGAATAAGACTGAAGAGGTACAAATGTTATCTTCTAATACTACAACAATTAAGAATAAAGGGGAAATAACGACGGAAGTGGATTATGACATCACGCGATCACTGCCGTTATATTTGTCGATATACGTCTTTGGAGAATCAAACAATGAAGAACTCAGAAATTACGTGAAGAAGTATTTTAATGCGATACATTTGGACGTGATCATATTCTTAACATCAGTGCAGTCTGTGTCAGCTCCATTAATTAAAAATACAACAAGTCCATGTGGGCCTTTGGTGAAGGATAGAGAGACTATTATGAACTTAAGAAGTCTGTGTAGTTCGCTAGTGAATTATAATTGGTTGTCAGACCAATTGATGGGATATTTGATTCGAAAACAAGCAAAGGAGTATCCTGTAGTAGTTCCTGTAGAGTTTCTCGTCTTTCTTGCGCGTGTGTGGACGATCAGAATATCATCAAGAAAGAAAGATGAAACGAACAAAGAAGATGATGATATGCAAGCAGTTAATTTGTGGGAATCAATGATAAAAACACTCGAGAAGAATATGAAGGAGAAGAATTGGAATGGGGGAGAGAATTTAGCACATGAATACGTCCTTTTGATGTTATTGATATACACATCTTTCAAAGAAGAGACGAAACAAGGGTTCATCAAGAAGATGTTCAATTTGTTGACCAATTTTAAAGACAATTTGAATAACCAGACGAAGCTTATTATATCAAGAGTCACTTTAATGCTCCACTTCATGTTAACGTATACACTGGAAAACGCTTCTGAATTGATGGAAGAGATCAGAAGAGTGTTAATGTCACGTAAAGTCATATTGGAAGAGTCTGAGAACTTAGAGGTACCTCAGTATTTCGAGATGAATACCTCAATGTTCGACGACTTGAAAAGAAGTCAAAGGACGAATATACCTCCCTATGGATATGCCAAGTTCTATACAATCATGCGAGACGAGACACATGACCGACTTTTGAATAGAATGAGGAAGGCGATATCTGAGAGGAAAGCAAATATCGACGGATTAATGAAAGAGAGTATGTATAACCAAGGGTACATTCAATTACTCGACTTGTTGAAAATGAAGAACAAAGAAGACGACGTCTTCTCACAAATATTGCGAGAGTACTTGTTCCATAATGTTGTGTCCCTCCTCTCTTTGTTACCACCACCAAAAAGTATATACTCGATATTCACACAATCAAAGCCATTCACTACTTTTGGACTGAATGATGGACTGATAGTCATGGGACTCTGGCTGAACATTTACACGTATGATATTGTCCAAGCCCCCGATGGCATTTCCAAAAACGCAAAAGAAATATTCAAAGACGTCTTGTCAACTTTAAATGCAATTTCTGAAGAACTGAAAACAAAGTGCGAGTGGCACGCAGAAGCCGCAGCAAAGATCTTCATTGACACGATCAATTGCCATATCTGGACGCCCGAGATGGTAGCCGGTGTTGTTCGTAAAATGGAGGAAGCGAATGAAGTAGAGGAGGAAGTAGTAGAAGACGACAATTTACTTGTTCGGAAGAAAGTCGTTATAAAGATCAAAGAAGATGACAAAGTAGAAGACGGTAAAGACGTAACACAGCGAGAGATGTTATTGAGTGAATTGAGGACTGTTTCTACTATTGCGGAGTACCAAGAGAATCCAAATGAGAAGAAGAATGTAGTTCAGAGTAAGAAGGTCAATAAAATGTTTATATTAGACAACGTCCCAATCGTCCCCATCTCTGAATATGGTCAGGCGTGCTTTGAAATGTGCGTCAAGAGTCCAAGTAGTCTCTTTGAAATCCTAGCCAAATACATTCGCTTGTTTGCAGAGGAATTAAAACAGAAGTGGCCGGACTTTATATATACGAGTGGGGTCCCCAAAGTGATTTCTGCGTTGTTGGTGAACATCATGTACCGCGGGATTTCTTTTGAAGTGATCGAGGACTTACTCATCGAGTTGGGTGGAGGCGAAAACTCGAAGAAAGCGACAGAGGAGTTTGGTGATCGGATTGGGTTTACTATGAAAGAGGTAGTCAATCCAATAGGGTATCTTTTAGAAGGCGTCTGTTACCACCCAATCACTGCAACGACTCGATCGAAAATCAGTTCGACGCAAATGATGATAGAGAGTGTTTTGCGGTTAGCGCAACAAGTGTGTGAGAGAGATAATATAGTTGGGAACTATCAACAGAATGTCTTCATGAAAGACCTTTTCCGACTTTCTGGGAGTTATTTGGGGAAGTTTGTATTTGCAGAGACTGAGGCTGTAGCGAAGAGATTGTGTGGTGAGAATTTAGCTGGGCCGATGATGAGTCAGTCAGTGATGCCGATCATCGATGACTTCATCGATGGGTTCTTAATTAACTATCAAAAAGGGAAGAAGAAATACCACCAGTTTGTTCCTATTGTGAGAGCGTTTTTCGATGTGATGAAAGACAAAGTCGATGAAGTGATGGATGCAAAGAGTCATGGACGTGTTGGAGGAGAGATGTATTACTATCAATTAAATAGTTACCATCGAAAACCAAGTGTGATGATCTATTTGAAATGTGCTGCAGAAGTAAGTGACAAAGAGTTAGGAGACTCTATCATGTCTTTTGTTGAACGTCTGTGTCAAGCTAGTCCGGAGATCAAAGAAGAGATCTCTACCGCAATTGAAGGGGGTGGAGGAGACTTATTTGCGGCGTGGGCGGTACAAAAGATAGTCGGCTACACTGATGAAATGAATATCTTCAGACATGCAGAAACACAGAGCACAGTGACCTTCTTTGCTTTTGTTACAAAAATTATGAAGATCAATGCGGTCACTGGGAATTCATCTGCTTCTGGCACCATCAATTCATTGACTAAAGCATTCAAAACAGTCTTTGAAAAGTACCCTGCCCACATCAATCGATACTTTAGAGTGGTCTCCGAATTTGCACTGGAGGCCGGAGACTTCTCCACTGTAGTTATTGGATTGAATGGGTGGCTTCAAGGGATCATAGAAAGTGTGAAGAGTTTGGATCATGAACAAGTCGAAGGGATCAGTGGGATGTTAAATGAGCTTCAGAAGATCGTTATGCGTGTCCCGATACCGGAGAAGAAGGTGAAGAGTAACATCGATGACAACGCGAAGTGTACGAAGGAGTTTGAACAGTCGTATGTCCAACCCATGTACCATTGTTATACTTGTGAAGTGGATTGTTGTGCTGTTTGTGTGAGAAATTGTCATGACGGACACGACACTGTATATATAGGTAGGGAGTATTTCAACTGCCCGTGTGTGTGTAAAACAGAGGAAGAGCGGAAGAAGGAAAGGAAGAGAAATAAAGAAGACGTCGTGAAGGACAAAAAGCAACAACTCATCTTGCGTGCATTAAATCGTGATTCAATGTTACCAAGTGTGTTAAACAAATTATTACAAATAGTCGAGAAGAGCGACGACGAGTGGAAGGAAGTCAAATTAGTTGGGAAGAGTAAAGCCCTTGACGCGTTATTTAAGAAGCGGATTATGTCGCAATATGAAGGGATAGCTTTAGGGTTTACAGAGAAATGTGTTGGGAGCAAAGAATGGCTGAAAATGGCGACGTCGCAGAATACGCGAAGTATACCATTGATAGAAAAGGGAGTTATGAAGCAGAATTTGATCTGTTGCGACAGCACTTATTTGTATCACGTGTATCAGCGCAATGAAGTTCACAAAATTGAATTGAAAGAATTAGCTGAACAGAGTGAGAGGAAAGAAGAAGATATCTCTCTCGAAGTACCTTTTGAGATAGTCGAGGTGATCAACAATCCCTTCAAAGATGGAGTTATAGCTGTCTCTGGATTTAGAAATGTAGAAGTCCTGTTGTGGACTCAAGAAGAAACAAAGCAAATTGATATAGTGATGGATTGTATTGAGAAGGATGTCTTCATTATGGAAATCAAATTTATTGATGCAAAGACACTTGCTGTTATTACACCGACATTTGTGAGGATCTTTAGCTTAGATTCGTACTATATAGACCGGATCTCGATGATAGAAAGTATAGCAGAATATCGCCCAATTGTTGGTGACATCTTGTCATGCGTCATTACAGCAACGACGCCACGGAAAATCGTGATGAGTACGTCTGAGAATGCGATATTATCAGAGGACCTCCCCACTGAATTTTCGACTGAAAAGGTGAGTAAAAAACTCGATATGGAATATCGAAGTGGGTTGATTGAAGGAGTATATATCTTGAGATACCTTCAACGTGAAAATCTGTTGCTAGCGATCAATGAGGAATTTGACTCGTGGTTCTTGTTGTTGAACTCGAAAGGCGAGATGGAGAAGACGATTGCAACGACGTTTGAATTTGTGCCGACGACATTCTTAGAAACGACGGAGAACACGTTGATCTCAGTATCACAGGAAATGAAGTGCGTAGTCGCTCATAAGTTGTTTGAAGATGGAATGAATTACTTGAAGTTGTATGAGAACAAGAATGTCGGTGGGATGTGTTACGACGCTTCTCGGAAGATTGTGTATGTTGCGACGAAAGATGGAGACCTTGTTGCTCTGAGTGAGACGGAAGAACTTGAAACCATCGAGAAACTCAAACCAAAGAATTTGACGTCACAGACGTTCTTTGAGAACTACGAGTGTGTCCCAGCAGACCAATGTGAAGTGCAAGAGTCGAGGAGTAAGATCATAGTTCCGAGTGGTGGGGTTACTCTATATAAAACACACATGTATGTGAAGAATAAGGTGATTCGTGGCATCAGAATACTTGTTGGAGAGAAGTCGCCAAAGCAGATCAATTTTGCAAAGAGGAGTTTCCCTATTGGAGAGGGTAATAGGTGGTATGATATCCCTTTAAGTAAAGAAGAGGCTATTGACACGAAACCACTGATGTTCTCATATTGCTCGGAACCCGGAAATGAGACGTCGTTGCAATTTGAGGCGGTCAAAGTCTATGCAGAACGCGACGAACTATTTAACTACGAAGAACGGAAAGAAGACAAGTTTGGCAAGATGAAAGAAGACGAAGAGAAAGCGACAGTTAACACAGCGGAAGAGCTTTGTAAGACCGCTGTTGAAATTATCGAGTCGATATTTATGGTCACGAGATACTCGAAAGACAGAGATGCGTCGAAGAGTCTTATTGTCGAGACACTCGACCGATTGAAAACAAAAAAGTTTAAAGTCCTCGAGAAGTCGTGTGAATCGACAAAGAAGAGTTTGGTCAACGACGATCAGTCGCAAACTTTAGTTACTGAGTACTTGAAACTTATTAACGAGAATATGAGAAAGAACAACACTAAAGAAGAATGGGTAAAGTACATATTATATGTGAATGATGCACATGTAGAGTACCAACAAGCTCTAATGGACTATAACAATACAAATCCAAGGTTTGTCACGAACCTTTGTGGTACTATTTTGAGTCAAGTTGAGTTGACGGAGTCACTTGTTTCGTGCATTACAACAACATTAATGAGGAACATCGACATCTTCCAAAATTATAAGGCTCACTATAAACAACACTTTGAGGTTTTGAAAACAATTTTCAGTTTGCCTATGAAATTGGCTGAGGCCGGACTAAACGCCGTCTGCTGTTATTATCAAGAAGTCGAGCCTCGATTGGAAGACACAAGTTACATAGTACGTATAGTCACACAAGTCGCCAAAATAGTCTCCACGGAAAAGAAAATCGAAGAACATGGAGGTGAAGTGCAAATTGAATTTGTGTCGAATGTGCGACAAAGTCTCCAAGCCATTCAAGCCAATTCGAACGAAGAGAAGATGCACACTGTCACTGAGACACAAGAAGTGGATTTCACTAAAGTAGTCAATGAAAGGGCGTTTGTTGAAGTCGATGAGAAGATGAATGCAATACTCATAGGGTTACTCGACTGTTTGTCTTTGTTGACGGACACCCCACAACGATTTGAAGTGTGCGCTATTGCACTCTACTGGATTTTGTTCCAACAGAACTACCGAATTTCAGAGGAACTTGCTCTTACGATAGTCGACAGATTAATTGCAGTCACGGAAGAAAGTAAGACCGAGACAACGTATATCTGTCTGTTACTTTTGAGTCACTTCTTAGGGTCTTTGGACTTTGAATACTACCAACAATACACGCGAAACGTTCTTAAGAGGACAATGTATGACTATTTGGGTGGCATACTTCCACTGCCTTCTGTTGCACAGTCGCGTTCATTTGCGGGTGCGATCACACAGTCGAAGCAAAAGGTGAAAGAAACTCTCTTCTCTATATTTGGAAAGGAAGTTGAGAAAGTCAGTGAGAAGAAGTGTGAACAGTTTAACACAGAGAAGACGTCTACTTCACGTCTTCCGTTCACCGAAGATGATGTTGTGTTATATGAAGAGATTGATGTCAAGATGTGTCAGGTCATAGTAGATATCATGTACTTCATGTTTAACTACAACAGAGACATGCAGATAGAAAACACCGACAAAGACATTTGGGAGAACTCAGTGCAGAAATTGGCGACGGATCCGTTATTCAAAGGAGCGAGTTATGGGGCTAAAAGAATGTTATATCAATTTGGAGGAGGGTCCTATGCATATCACGTCAATACCGACACAAAGGTACTTGAGGAAGTCTGCCCTCAATTAGTGGAGTCTGCAACGCAATTGCTGAGAGAAGAGAATGCGACGAATGTTGAGAATTATGTGACAAACATCGAGAAAATCATCGGACAGTCACTCAAACGTCCCAACTTGTTCCAACAATTTGTGAGGAACAACAACGACGTCTTCTTAATGTTAATTGGAGTTGCCGCGAAGTCCACAAAAAGTGAAGTGAAACAGCCGACATTAGTCTTGTTACGATGTGTCTTCTTGATGAACGTCGACAGGAGTATTCGCGAGAAACCAATGGAACATGGGGTGTCCCAGTTACAAACGATCTTGAATGAGAGACAATTAGTATGCGAAGACATTGTGAAGAATGCTGAAAAGGAGCGAGCCTTTGTGGAGAGTTTAGTGACGGACTTATCGACACTGAAAAGCATTATATCGTCTTCTTTGAGTGAAAATGATGAAACGGTCTTGAAAGAGTTGACTCGACTGATAGAAGTGATGGTGATTCTTGCTAATGACACGCAAAGAACTAAAATTGCAGACTTGTTGTGGGCTTTGACCTCTAAAATTGAGAACCCACCCGAACGCTTTGTCGAGTTACTTGGTGTTGTGAGCTTTTTTAAGGCAAAAACACACATTAAAGTTGATAAGAATGTAGAGCAGTATCTCGACTAATTCACTCATCTTTTGTTTTGAGGTATTCAATAGGATTATAAGATCGAACTACAAATTATACGACCATTAAAATTAAGAGAGAGAAGGCTACCACAAGATGAATAACGGAAGAACTTGGAACACACTTTCCATTATCAGTAAACCAACTTTCAGCCCCATCTGCGGTGCTACACACAACACAACGCCCATCTGGATATGTCGAAACACATCCAATGAAATCGCACTTGCTGGCATTCAGTTTGTAATTGTCTTCACATATCACACATGTCTCTCTCTTCTCCGTGTACACCGCACAATTGTTAATGGTATTGATCTCTTGAAGATTGTCACATTGATCCTCTGCATTGGTACACGTTGAACATGTTGACGAACATTTGGAACATGTATACCCACTTGTCAAATAATAGCCTTTATTACATTCAACACACTTTCCCGTGTTATATGTTTTACATCCATTTTCAGCACATGCCCCGTCGTCTGTCAAATTGTATCCACTCAAACATCCTAAGCACTTTTTATCAGAGGAATACCACTGACAGTGATCCTCAAAAATACAAGTGGTTTCACCTTGAAATACACGATAAACACAGTTCTTTGTACATCGAGCGCATTGTGTAGAGTCTGCAATTGTTAAGCACGTATTATCACCACAAGGCGTACATTTGTTGTTAAAAAGGTAGTACCCACTCTTACACATCATACACTGATCTTTTGCATTTCTACAGTTAAGACAATGTTCGTCATCGCACGTCTCACATACACCATCATATGCGTTGTACTTCTCTTCACATAATTTGCATGTTGTGGAATTCTCAGTGCAAACAAGGCAATGCGCGTCAACACACTTTTCACACACTCCTTTTGTCCCATTTTCAAAGCCATAGCCCTGAGCACACGTCGTGCAGTTTGTTGAAGTCGCTTCATACAAAATGCAGTCGGTCGTCTTTTCACAAATAGCATTCTTGATGGTATACCCTTTCTCACACACACTACATTGTTGTTTATTGACGTAATCTAAACAATGTGGAATACCCCCAGCTACACATTCACCACTTTGAAGGTACGTGCCTTCAACACATTTTGTGCAGTTTGATGTGATTTCATTATATGTCCTGCAATTGGTCACTTCAACACAATCACCATCAACTAACTTCATTCCAGGGTAACACAACTCACAGACTTTACATTGCGTGTTTGACACTTTCAAGCAGTACGGCTTCTTCGAAGAGCAGTCAACACACTTATTTGCTTGTGGGGAAAGACTGTATGGGGCGTAACAACTGGTGCATTTAGTACCACTGAAGCTTTTACAATACTCCACACCTTTAACACATGCGTTCTTGGTAAATTCATATGAATATCCAGAAGAGCATTGTGTGCATGTTTGTTTCTCTCGGTCATACGTCTCGCACCCAAGTAATCGTTTGTACACACACTGCTTGTTCGTTAAGATATAGTTATCTATACAGCTCTCGCACAGTGTCGGGGATGATGGGCAAGATGAGCAATACGTCGACGAACACGTTATATCAACTTCCGTAGACATCACTGTAAACACGATGAAGAAAATCGGCATCATTCTCATGATGTAATAGTATTGTTTATTAATAAGTTGAAATCGAATAGATTCAACAAAATCAATTCATACAAATACGACGATTTCCCGATTATTTAAACTAAATTTCTCTTAAAATATAATTCCTTTTTCTTTTCGAATTCATTTTTTTCGTAATAAATTCCAACGCATTTCAAATGTATTATAAAAAAATTATAAATAAATACTATAAAATTGTGGAAATTATTGAAGTGATACTTTCTAGCTTTTTTATTATAATACAAACCATTTTGTTGGTGATCACTTATAATAACAAAATATAATATAATGTACTATAAAATAAACTATACGAAGAAATGTCAAACAAGACACGAAAACAAAAAGAACTCGAACAGAACTAATTTTACTCAATGTAGGTGTATTCGTCTTTTTTAACATCAGATCTAGCCATGTACTCTCTTTCTATTAAGGACTCAATAGTTCGTTTTACAAGAGGGACGGGTGGTCTGAAACGTGAAGACAATGAAGTGACAACAGCTTGCATTAACTCGTTATGGACCATCCGCCTATTTCTTTTCATTAACTTCACGATACACGCCTCGATCATCCCCACCCGCTCTGCTGTGATTTCTTTCTCTTCTTCCTTTTTGACTTCCTTGGCGGCGATTAACTTGGGCAAAGGCAAGACTATCTTCATCTTGTTATTTGCGAAATTGGTGTTTAATGAAATGACGTCGTTGTCCACTTTGATAAGTCCGACTTGTTCTAAGGAGACCACAACACTCTTGACGATGTCCATAGTCAAATGGATTTGTTCGAATATTTTTTCGTTGGTCAGTGTTTCATTTGAGTTGAACAGGATTAAGACTGAGAGTTGATACGCACTTCCAAAGAAGTTATACATCTTACTCAAGTAATTTGTTTTGATCTTTCCTCTTGTGTATTGGTGTAACCACTCCAACTTTCTCCTCTGATATTGTTTGACATACCATTTCTCAAAAAAGACGTGTGTCTCTTGTAACGCTTGTGGCAGTGTGAATTGGAAATTTTGAGGGAAGAATGGCCAGACAGACGTCTGTAAAATGTTGACAAAGAATGGGAATTGGACTTGAACGCTCTCAGTGAATTTCGTGGACATGTCCTGTGACACTTGTAAGTCGCTCATCATCTTTTGGATCTTAAACGAGAACGCCGCGGAAAATTTGATCTTGTGTCTCCCAAACGCAGAGTTCTCCTCCGACAGATTTGCGGTATTCCCGCGCAGTAACATTCTTTTCGCGATGCTTCGAATGTAGTAATTCTCAAAGACGTCTTTGTTCTCGATATAATCGTAGATGTTAAAGATCCTATCTAGTCGCTCATTTAACTCGTCGATACCAACACACTGCTTAATAACGACATCAGAGTATTTCGCCAAAAATTCGGGCACTACACTCCCTATTTCATCTCCATTCCCTATTTTCTTGTTCCCATTAATAACACCACGAAACACTTTCCCAAAGGCTGAGAGGTATAATGTATGGTTCCCAAAGTCTTCTTTAATAAGCTTCTCGATATCTTCATAATACTCCATCACCTCTTTGATGATCTCAAACGGCTGTATTAACTTCCCCATGTTCTCTATCCGCTCTTTCCCAACTTCCTCACAATAAGCAGTGAACACAGAAACAGAGTCTTGTAACTTCTCACCATCTTTTAAGACAGAGAAACACTTCTTCAAATCGTCGGTCTCACGCTTACGAAGGAGAGATAACATCTTTTCTATTATAAACTTGCATTGCTCGGATATAAAGGAACTCTGTAAAATAGCCCAGAACTCCCGCTGGACTTCCGATGAGACATAAAACTGAAGACGGTCGCGTTCTAAGTCGATGATTTCAATGGTCTTCTGAAGGAACTCCGCTATCCCAAAGTTCTTAAATAAGTCGCGTAACGAGACAAAATATTCATTCGCAGCGACTACGTACTCTCTCTGATAAAAAGTCGTGTACACATCACACCGAACTACTTCTTGACTCACCATCTCGGGATTCGTGAAAAAGAGAAACAGTCGCATTGTCTTCGAAATCAATTCGCGATACGTCGCAACACTCTCCGACCGTTCTTCGGTAAGTAAATTGAGAGCACATTGGACGACTTTATTCCCATTCGCTTTAAGTAAGTCATTCCAATAGAGGGACATACAATGCTTAAAAACAACTTCGTTGAACTCGCCATTCACAGCTTTTTGATGTTTCACAAAGAAGCGGTCTAAGTACGAAAACACGTGTGAAAGTTTCAAACACATCATATAAAAAGTTTCTTTACTTTCGACAAAAAAATTCAAAGCGTCAACTCCATTCACTCCTTGCGACTTCTTGATGTTAGTGTTTTTGTTTCTTTGTTGTAAAATAATTATAATTATAATAATAACAATTGTTATTAGTTGTAATAGTTATTATTAGAACACAAACTTTGAGTAAAACTTTCAGTTTCATGACACACTTCTGTTGAATCATTTGGTAGAGTTTCAATGGGTTTGATGTTGATTGCTGGCAATATGAAATACACGTTGAATACATTTTCATGTGCGTTTGTGGGTCATATGGTTTGTCTGCAAGAATTGTGTCGCAAAACACCGCAAGACTTTCATACATCTGAGACGCAGTTTGCATCTTCTCTATCTTTTTGAGTTCGTGTGCTTTCATATCTCTGTTGTATAGTATATATATAGTTATAGTATTATTAATTAATACTATTCAAGTTTGTGTCTTAAGTGTATTTTTTATTTATGATATATAATATAGTTTACAGTATAATATAATTTATTATATATGTATAGATTCAAAATGTATTAATATGATAGTAGAGCGAACTATAAATATGAAAGAATCAAAACAAACACAAGAAATAGAACTTGAAATGAAAAAAGAATA